CAGCAGCAGGTCATCCCCGTATTGTAGGAGCCAACATCCATACTCTTCCGGATGGAATGAGTCCAGGTCAGAAGTCAAGGCTTCCCCAAAGATGGCTGGGGAGTTCTTTTTTTGTTTTTTTTTACTTTTTTTTTGGCTGAGGAGTTCTTAAACCCTTGTGGGGGTTCCAGGTGAGCTGTTGTTTGGTGCCCCCAACTGGATCTTCCCATTCAAAGGCAAAGATGGGCTGTGACGCTGGGGCGAGGTGTATGCAGAAGAAGGCATCCTTGAGATCTAGGCAAGTATCAACTTTAGTCCTCGGTGGGAGGAGGCTAAGTAAGGTATAGGGGTTTGGAACAGTGGGGTGTAAAGTCACAGTAACCTGGTTGACTAGCCTGAGATCTTGTACAGGCCTATAGTACTGTCCTTCTTCCTTTTTGACTGGCAGGATTGGCGTATTCCAAGCTGACTGGCACTCTACCAGAATGTCCGCTTGTTTTAATCTATTAATGTGGGGTAGTATGCCGGCCTGGGGCCTCTATCGGTAGCGGGTACTGGCGCTTTCTAACCAGGATGGTGCCTGGTTTGAGTTCTGTTATCACTGGGGATTGATGTTTAGTCAGCCTGGAGGGAGGGGGGTTGTCTTCCACCCAGACCTCAGGGAATGAGTTAGCTCTCTCTCATGCTCTTCCGGTCCACCCAGTTCTTCTCGGAGGCTCATGCAACTTCCACTCATCTTGGGGTGGTATTGAGAGAGAGCAAATAAATCATAGTGCCCATCCAGAAGGTGTGCCTCTCCTCAGGGGAGAAAGTCACTTGTGCTCCTAGTTTGGAGAGCAAGTCTCTTCCCAACAGGGGTACTGGGCACTCAGGAATGTAGAGGAATTCATGAATCACTTGGTGCCCCCCCCCCCCCCCCCCCCCGCCGCTTCTGACATTTTTTGGGCTGGCAAAACGATTTAATCATCTCTTCTCCCAATACCGCGGTTGTCTTTTGGGACAGTGGTGCCACAGGTTTTGTTACTACCGACAGTTCTGCTCCTGTATCCAACATGAAGTCAGTGTTTTGGTCCCCCACTTTTAAGGTTACCATGGGCTCTCGGGGACCTGATATCTCTGAGCCCTGGCAGCTCTAGTTAATTTCCAAGTCAGTAAGCCCCACAACTGCAGGAACTTCCTCTTCCTTCCTTGCCTTAGGGCATTCATTCTTCCAGTAGCCAAAAGCTCGGCACCGGGCAACTGGTTTGGCTGTAATGGGGCCTGGGGCCTCCGTTGGGACCGCTTGAAGGACTGTCCTGTCCCTGGGGCAGAGGAGGTTTTCCGGAGGGCCCGAGATAGATTCTCCCAGAGCAGCAGCTTGCACTGTAAGTCTCTTGTCTGTTTTCTTTTGTTCCCTCCAGCTCTCTGGCAGAGGGCAGTCTCTGCTTAATTCCAACGTCTCCCTCCCCTTCTTGTCAGTACTCACCGGGAGAGGCGGGTATAGATTGGGCTGTTCCGCCGGAGCCAGATCCTGGAAGTGTTGGCCAGAGGCTTCTGCCACTGGGATCGGAGCCCGCCGAGGTGGCGGCTCTACGACCTCCGGGAGAGCTGGTGGAGGAGCAGCAGCTGCTGCAGGAACTTCATCTGGCCCTCAATCGGGCATTACTTCATCTGGCCCTCAATCAGGCATTACAGCGGCCTCAGGTCCTGAGGTGGAGCACTGGGCCGGCGGGCGCATTGTCATCCAGTATAGGGGAGGGGCAGGTCATCCTCGTCCAAATCCTGCCTCATTCCAGAAGGAGGAGGGGGATTGGCGTGTCTTCACCTGCCGGTTGGCACAGCACAGCCAAACCAGAACACCACGTGGTCCAAGACTGTTTTTTCCTTAAAGTCCGTTCTGCCTTGGTGGGCTTGATCAGTTGCGGATGAAAACACAGATGGGTTAAATATCCCATGTCCCAGGCCATCTCTGGAAAAGCCAATTCATACTCACTTATATATATCCCCCTCCTTCTAGCCTAACAATTTCAAGGGGGTCAAGAATTTCACAGCAGATGGGATACCTCCTGGGGGAGGGCATAATACGAACACACAAGGACGTTTTCTATCCTAAAAATCCCCTGGCAACCGCTGGTAATAATTTTCCCTGAGACGGCGTGGACACACCTCCTAAACGACCTTCACAAGTTCCCTTCCTAAATGCTAGCACGCTCATTGACCTGTGTACCAAGCAATCACCGCCTGCCTATTCCAGGCTCCTGTGGATCCGTGCCCCTTCTAATCCCTCCCAGGGGGATGATCAGGCCCCCTCTTCCACCCTGTTGGGTGGGTTCTTCCTCACCTGAGCACTCAGTTCCCCTGCTGCCGTCCACTACCTGATAACATGAAAGGTCTGGGTGTTGAGAAGCAGAATCCTTCCAGAAGGCAAGGTGCCTTCCCCCCTCTAGAAGATTCAAGTCACAAGGCCTCGGAGTAGTCCCAAGTGGGACTTGTCTCCTCGAAGTGAGGAGTTTCCCGGCCAATGCACCAAATGTTGTAGCCATGCCTTTCGGGAAACAAACTCACTCAGAAGGACAATGCAGATAGTGGAGTGTAGTTTATTACACTGGTGGGCCCAAGGCACATTCTCCTTAGTCAAGGACCTCGACCAGTTTTTGTGAAAACCTTATATACCCTAAGCGTACGTGTCCAAACCCATTTCCTGAAAATCCCGTGAGACTAGTCTGAACAAAGGAAAAAGAAAGATACAATCAAAGTTAACCCGTGATTCATAAGCCTTAAGCCCAGGTAGCTAACAGTGGACAATTATCAATATGCCTGTGGTCATACCCCAATAAGCATAATAGAATGTATGATTCTATTCCGTTACACAGATAATAGGGTATTCTTTTAGGAATGGAGAACCCTGGGGCTCTTCCATCCAGGCGGCCTGGTTTTCCAGTCGGTATGTCGTTTCCATAGATACTGTGCATATAGCTCAAAGTCCACAGTCCGGCCCAAGATGGAGTCCGGTATTCAAGATAGATTCTGTTCTGTTTCCTCCTTCACTTGGGGAACTGAAATCCCACATGCCATGCGGCACAATCAAAATTAATAACACTCCACACCCCCCCCCAAGTATTAACTGAGTGCAATGCCAGTTTCCAGTGGTAAGCCTTTATTTAGCACCCATAGGGTACACAGCACCATACAAGATGAGGTTTCTGGCGCACGGAACAAATACACAAAAGAACACAGACATGGGTAATTAAGTCGCAGTTACAAAATAAGTTGCTCTGTGAAAAAGAAACATGTAATAGCTGGTGGTTTGCTGAGGCAATCAAAGGAAAAACTTCTGGAAGTCTTGCTTTTTGAGCAGGTTTTGAAGAGAGGAAAGGAGGCAAATTGGGGATAGAAAAGAGAAACAGGGTTAAAAAGGATAACTTAGTCTTGACCAACACACATGAATTACAGAAGAAGGTATGTGGAGCAGCAAAACGAGAGAAAAGGGCAGGCTCTGGCAGCAGTTTTTTGCCTTCAAGCAGTAAGACTGACTCCTTGCCAGGCCAAAAGGAAAGGCCTAAAGAGACCGAATAAAAGATTGAACAGCTCAGCTGGGCCAAGTGAAGCAGGTGAAGGGCCCCTTCTCCCACTATCAGGTCATAATCTCAGCTTTTCAGTGTTTCACTCTCAAGGAGGAGCAGACTGCCAAGGTCGCTAACTGAGGAAAGCCTAAATCCTGAAAGACAAAGACCAAAGGAAACATACAAAGAAAACAGAAACCTTGTGGGTCACAGAATATTCAGGAAGAAAATATAGACACGAATGCCTGTGTGTGATGTACTATATAAATATTATTTTCCAAGAGATAAGATACTGCAACCATGAACCAAAAATAGGATACTATTGAAGAAAAACAAAACGTTCAAAGAGAGCTCTAGAAATAAAAAAATGAGACACCCCCCCCCCCAAAAATAAAGAAACCAAAAAACCCACCACAACAGACAAATTGGAAGATTAAATTGAGGAAATCTCCTAGAAAGTAGAGCAAGAAGACAAAGCTGGAAATTAACAGAAAAGATAAGAAAATCAGAGAACCAATCCTGGAGGTCTTATGTCTGGGTAACAGGAATTCTAGAAAGAGAGAACAGATAAGGTATCATTAAAGAAACACTTCAAGAACAGTTCCCTGAACTGAAGAACAAAGTTTTCAAATTGAAAGATCCCACCAAGCACCTAGTATGAGGTATAATAATAGACCTTTACTGGGAATAGAACACTGGGTCAAAGAGATTGCTGTAAGGTTCAAGAGAGAGAAAGACTGGTCATGAATATAAAAGATAAAGATTGGCCTCTGACTTCCAATAGTCACTCTGAAGGCCAGAGGTGAGAACATTTTCAGATTTCAAAGCAGCAACACTGGAATGTAGCAGGTATATTCAAAATTGGGTATGAAAACTACTCACGAACTCTCTGCCCTGCCAAAACAGCAATCAAGTGTAAGGGCAAAAGAACATGTTCAAACATATAGTCTCATTTACCTCTCATTTTTTCCCTTTCAAAAGGTACTGGAGGATGGTGCTTCACCCATAAAGTGAAAGTTACTCACTGTGTCCAACTCTTTGTGACCCGATGCCCATATGTGGCAGTAAATCAATGAAAGGAGAAATAAGGGGATTTAACTAGAAATAAACCTGACATTGGAAAGACAAAGGGAATCTCTATGATGCTGACAGGAAATGACAACTGGGAACCAGTACAGATGAAGAAGATCAAGATGTCAGCTCTCTGTACAAATTTCCCACACTTTCCAAGTGTCTTCACTTTATTTCAGTGTGTTGCCTAAAATTCCTGCATGTTTACTGTGAATAAATGAACTTCTCAGCTTTCCCCATTTGTCTATGGCTGTCGGGTTACAATTTCTTGCTCCCTTTCCTAGCTCTTTGGTTTCCCACTCTCTAAAGGTAAATTTTTATTTAGTTCAATATTTTTAAGAAATTAAATCCAGTACAAATTTAGATTCTTGTTTGAAAGGTGCTGCTGCTGCTGCTAAGTCACATCAGTCATGTCTGACTCTGTGTGACCCCACAAATGGCAGCCCACCCAGGCTCCTGTGTCCCTGGCATTCTCCAGGCAAGAACACTGGAGTGGGTTGCCATTTCCTTCTCCAATACATGCATGCTAAGTTGCTTCAGTCGTGTCCGACTCTGTGCGACCCCATGGACTACAGCCCACCAGGCTCCCCTGTCCACGGGATTCTCCAGGCAAGAATACTGGAGTGGGTTGCCATTTCCTTCTCCATTGTCTGAAAGGTAACCAAAGGTAATTAAACCCAGAAGCAAGCTGAGAAAAAAGAAAAAAACAAACCCTAAAAAAAACAGAACTACTTCAATTACTCCTTTTTGAGCTAGTATTCCCATGCTGGCTCCAAGGGTGGGGAGAATTTCCTAACAGCCAAATGTACATCTTAGTTACAGATAAAGTTAGTTTTAACTCTCGGAGACTTTCACCCTCTTTCCACTACCTGATCATGGTCAGGAAACCTACAGCAGAGTAAATCTTTCCCTTTTTCTCTAGGAAAATAATTTGCACATCATGCCGAGGCAAGTCCAATGGTCTGTTTCAGACTTTTTCAACAAAATTGTTCTAAGTGAAATTCTTACCCAGCACCATCTCTTCTGGCAATAAATAAGCCACGTCTGACTATTCTCTTAAGTTTCCTTTTCTTACGGTTCTACTCTGTCTAGAACAAAAATATTTCAGCTCCTCCAAGTTTCTATTCCCTCTTTTCCTGTGTTTGTATAGAAGGAGTGAAGAGAATCTGTGGAAAAGAAGTTTCATTTCAAAAAATGTGCCAAAACTTTCCCCTAGGAGAGTTTCTCTTCTTTCTCATTCAAGTGGACTTACAGGACACTATTTCATGGAGCTTCTCCAATTAACTTAAAATACTTGGAAGTAATATGCACAATATTAATATTCTTCAGGCTCTGATGCCCATCTTATGGCTCACAATGGTAAATTATTTGCCAGAAATTAAACATAAATAAATTTTGTAGGTAAAGAGGTGAAATTTGGCCCTGTGGGCCCTGAAAGTCAAAGATAATAATTACAAAAACAGTAAGAAGTGCTGAAATCAATTGTGACACTTGTTCTTCTGAATATATAATTTACAAATAAGTTACAAATTATATAGTGCTATTTCATATAAAATATACACATCCATTCTACTCATGTATAGTTGAACAGCAGTAAGAATAAAGAGATAGGCTATGCATATGAAAATGTCCTTATTTTGTTCCAAGCATTTCTAAGTAATGCAAATAAACTCTCCCAATAAGGGTAAACTGAGAGGAATTCTCTTGACAGATCGTAATGTAAATTAATTCCACTGACCAATGGGGATTCTTTTGCATGGCCCTAGTTTCAGCTTGATCAGCTGATTTCATGAGCAGGCATTAACCAGATTTATAATATTTTTTTTCTACACTTATTAACCCCACATTGGCAGAGGATTTCTTTCTCAGGCATAGTCCCAGCTTCATAACCATAATCCCATGTTAGTTCTGTTCTTGCTTTCACATACCTAGAAAGTAGAAATTTTAAAAATAATCATAAATTATCCTGAATGAACCAAATTTTACTATAATCAATTTTCATATTAACATCATTAACCCTCCTCAACAATATGGTTTTCTCTCTCCAACATCCACTACTTACGAATGCTCTTTTATTAAGGATAATCATTTTAGTTTTATTTCAAATCTATTAAAATCCCAAATAAGAAGAAACTCATCAATATCCACAAGGGAGGAAGTGTGTTTTTTTAAAAAGAGTGGGCCCCAGCAATGCGCTGAGGCCTGGGGAGGTAACCGTGGGTAGTTTTGACTTAAAAGATGTAGCATTCTGCATCATTTACTCTCTGAACTGAACTGGCTGAGACCTGCAATTTTTAGCCTTTTTGGACATTAATTCTAAAAGGAAATAAGAATTAAAATTTCAACTATTTAAAATTTTATCGCCTCTAAACATTTTGGGATGACTGAGTATTCTAGGGTACCAGAGAGTTGGGGCTATAGCATATATCTTATTTTAATATTTTTGTACTGTTATTTTTAAAGTCACAATTTCAAAATTAATCATATTAAAAATTTTTTCAAACCTGTTGGTGAAGAACGCCACCAAGGGAAAACTTCTGTCATGTGTTTCTACAAAAACATTCTGTACCGAAAGATTTGGACAACAACTATGCTGTTAACAAAAACAGACAAACACATAAGTTAGATATAGCATAAAGTCTGATACATTGTTCTTTGAAGCATTAGAATACTATTCTGTTTCCAACACATCTTACTTATTTTTATTTATTTTTTTTTCTGACTAGTATGCAAAATATCATAGCTCATTACAATTTTATTGATGGTAGGAATTCATTCAGAAAGCCCTGTTTTGACATTCTTACACCTTGCCAGTAGAAATGAAAAATACTAAAAACTCCTATTTATCATTATTATAAATGCATGTATCTTTTGATTCAACAATCCAGTATCTGGGAGTGTATTCGACAGATATATCTGCATATGTATCCACATAAGATTATTTACTGAACATTGTTTTCAACAGTAGAGGATTGGAAGCAATCCAAATGTCTATCTAAAGAGGATTATTTAAACTTCGGGACAGCCACACGTTGAAACCATATGCACCTATAAACAAAAAACAAATGAGGAGCTCTGTGTACTCAAACAGAAAGATCTCCAGAGTATATTGTTAACTTAAAACACAAGGTGTAGGGCACTGAATGTAACATGCTATCTTTTAGGTAAGGGGTAGGAATAAGAACACATCCTTACACTTACTTATATTTGCATAAAGAAACACTATAAGAATATACCAAAAAGTAATAAAAAATGATTTTACTATAGAGGGTGGATTGGGGGCAGGGTAAACAGGGGCAGAGTACATTATTTTTAAAACAAAACAAAAAGTTTAACATGAAGAATATGTTATGACCTGAATTTTACATCATAGTCAAACAGATCCTTTGGAAAGGGTATCTATGTAAGTAATTGATTTCTCTGCTGAACACACCATTATTTATTGTTTTTCCAAGGCTTCTAACATGGTGCTAATAACTATTTCCTATCACCACCAATTCAGTGTTATTTTGCTGCACATGAGCTGTTATTGCTAGTCATCTATCACCAGATTCATAAAGGGATCGAATCGCAGCTATATTTCTCAGACACATTTACCACTGTTAGATTTCAATGATAACTTCCTATCATCCATACATTTTTTTTTCAGTTTGAGCCTGGTGAGCTTTACTCAGAGTACCTACTTGGCAGGGTCAGAGCTGCTGTGAAACAATTCTGTTTGTATGTATTCTCTAAGGTGTTCTATTTTATTTAAGTTTTTAAATCATGAGACTGGATTATGTATGTAGAAAATTAAATTTAAAAAGACAGAAAAGCCTTGTTTTTCTCCTCCTACAAACAAGGGGGGATCTAGATAGTGAGACCAACCATAACATTCCAGTGCAGCCACTATTCAACGTAACTGACTGGAAAGAAAGCCACGACAGTTCTTTGCTAGGGATCATTCTTTACTGATCTCCTGGCTCTCCTGGCATGTTTAGTAGCTTCCAGCATGTTTGGCAATAGTGTAGAAGTAGTGAACGTGCAGGAGACCCATGTTCGATCCCTGGGTCAGGAAGATCCCACGGAGACGGGAATGGCAACCCACTCCAGTATTTAGAGAGGATTCTCTTGTTAACCAAGTATCCTAACTAGGAGAGAGAAAAAGAAAAAGGCCAAACAGATTTCTCTAGAAAGAAAAAAAAGTTCTCTGGTTTCAAAGATTTTCTGACTTGAGAGTACTTTTTCCTCTGATGGCACATGAATTACATGTAAAATGATCAGTAAACATCAATTTCAAACCATTCAAATGTCACATTTTGAAGAGGTGTTGAGGGAATTCCCTGGTGGTTCAGTTCTTAGGACTCTACTTGCACTGCAGAGGGCACAGGTTTGATCCTTGGTCAGTGAACTAAGATCCTGTGAGCCTAGTAGTACAGCCATAAATAAATAAATAAATAAATAGGTCTTCAGTTTAGCAAAGGAAATACATAAAAGAATCTTGGGCTATGCATGCTTCCCATTATTTTAAGGGAAAAGTCAAAGCTGCCCATCCCACTAACTGAACCCCCCAGTGAGGAAGAAGAGCTCTGATACAGAGCAAAGAGGAAAATTAAGGCCATATCCAGAGATCAGTGAACCTAAATGGACCTTTCCAAAGGATGTGTGGAGGCTATCATAAAGTTCCCGTCCTGCTTCCACGACTCCTCACCACCCTCCTGGGTAGGGTAAGTCAGAACAAAGTAGAGCCCAGAGAGTAGGAGGAATGCAGGTGGCTTCTGCACGGTCCAGCTGGCCAAAGACAGGACAGTCTATATACACTGGGACTAGTGGTAAAGGTATTTTTCTTTTTTCCCCTGGAAAATTTCTGGGACTATACATTCTTTGAAAAGCATGTATGATGGTAGGAGGCAGGAGAGACGAGACTGGCAGTCTGATGGGAAAAGCTAGCTCCAATTCCACCCTACACAGTAGTTATGGCCAATAATACAAAGTATCCCTTTCATCATGAAGTCTTAAGTGTCAATGAACCTTGTGAAGTGAAAGTTGCTCAGTCGTGTCTGACTCTTTGCAACCCCCATGGACTATACAGTTCATGGAATTCTCCAGGCCAGAATACTGGAGTGGGTAGGCTTTCCCTTCTCCAGGGGATCTTCCCCACCCAGGGATCGAACCCAGGTCTCCGGCATTGCAGGCGGATTCTTTACCAGCTGAGCCACAAGGGAAGCCCAAGAATGCTGAAGTGGGTGGCCTATCCCTTCTCCAGTGGATCTCCTTAACCCAGGAATAGAACTGGGGTTTCCTGCACTGCAGGCAGATTCTTTTCCAACTGAGCTATCAGGGAAGCCCAATGAACCTTAAATCAGAGAAATCATAAATATTCCTCTATATAAATGAAAATAAGTCTCATTACATATATCCCAAACATACACAGAAACAGCAAATGACTATGGCTTAGGAATAAAAAAAGAGTAAGATAGTAAAATGCAATATTCTGATAAACGCACTGGTTTTCTGTACTAAGCCACTGCTGCTGCTGCTGCTAAGTCACTTCAGTCGTGTCCGACTCTGTGCGACCCCATAGACGGCAGCCCACCAGGCTCCCCCACCCCTGGGATTCTCCAGGCAAGAACACTGGAGTGGGTTGCCATTTCCTTCTCCAATGCATGAAAGTGAAAAGTGAAAGTGAAGTCACTCAGTTGTGTCCAACTATTAGCAACCCCGTGGACTGCAGCCTACCAGGCTCCTCCATCCATGGGATTTTCCAGGCAAGAGTACCGGAGTGGGTTACCATTGCCTTCGTCAGTACTAAGCCACTAAATCACTTAAAATTTAGTGAGAGTAGTAAAACATAAGTGCTCCCAACTAATTTTTTTTAATAGAGGTATTTCTGAATAAGACCTTCTATTATATGTGAGACACAAAAGAAAAACTTATTCTATGTGCCCCATTGTTTTTTCAAAGGAATGCATCTTAAAAGCCTTTCAGTAAATATATATGATTTTCTTACTTATCATTTCTTATAGTTTCTTTAAGCAAATGTTTACTGTGTGCTAGATACTGTTTAAGCACTTTATATATAATACATTTAATCTTCACAGCATTCTAGACAGTTATTAACTCTGTATTATTGAAGTGGGAAATACAGCATGGAGGGGTCAAGTGAGATGTCCAAGGTCATATAAGTAGAGGACTGTCATTCTAATCCAGGTAGTGTGGCTTTGGAATCTGTCAGTCATATTTTCCTCATGATTTTGTGAAGAAGCCTAGGAAAAAAATGTGTTTAGACAAAGGAATCTCAGCCCACATACTCACATTAAGGAAGCGGCCCACATTTCCTTCTTTTGTGGCATCCAATAAAAACACATTCCCTTTACTGAACTTCTCTAGAGAATCAGATGAAGCATCCTTGGTTTCATTTGCCAACTCTTTACCACAAAAGACCTGCTGGTTTTGACATGCTGGAGACTTTTCCTCTTGGGGCTTTTGTATTTGAGCCTCGTTCGTGTCATCCAGTGTGACTGCTTGGTGACATGTGCCCCCCGACGGAGTTTCTTCTCTACACTTGGTTATATCTATCACATCGTTGTCTTCAGAGTCTTCAACTTGGTTTGAGCTTGAGTCCTCTAATAAACATTTTGGAAGGAATTGTCAGGGAATATAATTGGCTGAGCAACACTGCTGAGAGTAACAATACTAATTAACTGCAAGTTAATTATTGCTAATCTGTACAATGTATTAAGGTACACAGTACTTCAGTTTTACAAATGAAAACTCTGAGCTTCTGAAGGCTTAAGGGATTCACTCAACTAACTAGCAATAATAATGAGAAGTGGGATAAGAAACACAGAAATATCTGATTCTGAAGTCTACCTTCTTTCTACTACCTAACAATGCCTTTTTATGAATCTGTATACATGTTGCTTCCTGTTACTATACTTAAGCTCTACTTACAAATTGACTTCCTTCAACTTTGGACTCTGCATTTAAATATATTCTAGACAGCTGTAACAGAGAGGGTTTAGGGAGCATTTTAGGCCTTTATGATACCAATGAAAGGCTGGGGAGACCATGATAAGAGTCACCCACTCTAAAGCCCAGGAACAATAACTACCGCTTTGGATTTTGTATATGTTTTTGCTGGATGATCATTCAGTTATTACACTTTTACAAACAACAATACTTTAGAAGATGAACTGCTTATTTTTCTTATCCAATAATGCAAATAATTTTCCAAAATATTCAAAAGTGTGAAGGCATGTCAAATGGAGTACATAAAATTATTGTTAAAAAGTCATTTGTGCCACCTAATTCAGTGGCAGAAAGAAATTATACTTTTCTAAAATTAATGTTTTTGATGTAATCATCACTGTTTCTAGCTGCTTTTTCCTACCATGGGTTACTTGCAGTAATATTAATAGTACATAACTAATTTTGTAGTGCCTGCTATGTGTACTGTAGTGGTCAATGAAAACAACAAAAGAACCAAGAGCAATAGTATTCAGATGACTTTCATGCATTAAATGGTGATATATCAGAATGTTGTCCCCAAATACACATTTTTGACATAAGAACTATTTTGAGCTAAGGGCAATTTGAGCTAAGCAGTAATACAGGAAAATCTCTCAGTCCTCTCCCCTCTCTGTCTAAAAATAGGATATAAATTTACAAAGGTGTCCTTCTTTCTATTAATACTAGGAAGGTGGGGAGTTGGGGTGAATATGCCAAGGAAGCCCAAAGAGAGAAGAGGCCACGGTCAGTCAGTTCTTCACAAAGGGTCATGTCTCAGCAACATCTCTTCACTGAGGGATATACTGAAATGCAAATAAACTAAAGTCCAGTTTTGTCAGGTTTTAATATTAAATTGGGCTTCCCTTGTGGCTCAGCTGGTAAAGAATCCGCCTGCAGTGTGGGAGACCTGGGTTCGATCCCTGGGTTGGGAAGATCCCTGGAGAAGGGAAAGGCTACCCACTCCAGTATTCTGGCCTGGAGAATCCCATGGACTGTACAGTCTATACCATGGCAAGACTGGTAACACAAAGACGAGCACTCAGCGCAGCAATACTTTCACTTGTTACTAAGCATCCTCTGGGGCAGCACTGGCTGGAATACTGCAGGAGAACGTCATGTCTTTATTTTAAAGGAGCCTAAATAAAGAGTTAGGAGATGGCTGTGCTGGGCAGGGCTTCCAAAGCCAGAGATGGACTGTGAGTTGTCCACACTATTCTCCTGCCCAGCATCAGGTCACGGCTGGCATCTAGACCAGGGGTCAGCAAACTTCTTCTGTATGGGGCCAAACAGTAAACACTGTGGGCTATACCATCTCTGTTGTGAGTATTCAGCTCTGCTACTATAGTGTTAAAGTAGAGACAATATGTAAATGAAAGAGTGTTGCTATCTTCTGATACAATTTATTTAGCAACACTGAAATTATAATTTCCTGTAAGTTTCGAGTGTCACAAAGGATTATTTATCTTCTCATCTCTTCTCAGTTATTTTAAAAGGTAAAAATTATCTTAGCTTACAGGGCATACATAAACCGGCGGTGGGCTGGATGTGGCCCACAGATCACGGTTTGTCGACCTCTGATCTAGACATATAGAAAGCCTTGTGATGAATGCAGCATTTTTGTAACAGTGTCTGAAAAAATGAGCTACAAGTATTGAGCAAGAGAGACAAAAAGGCAGAAGAGGCAGGCAACCACAGAATGAAACAAAGCCTACTTCTCGTTTCCTTGGCTTTAGAGTTCAGATGTACTTGAGCTGGATTAAGTTCCCCATTATCTTCTGAGGCGACAGACTCTGAGGAAGTAAATCCCTTAAAAGAAAACAAGGAAGATGTCTTTACTTTCTAGGTTAGGAAAAAGAATTTAAGTTAGCAGTAAGACCTCTTTCATCAAGTATCAATCTCCACAGACTGCAGCAATTAAATTAGTTTTCAAAGACTCAAAGCTGATAGCCTGAGCAATCTCTGACACGATGGAGCCCTTTTAGCTGTGTTCTACTCCCAGGCACTTTAGTGAGGCACAGCTATGAGAATTATAAGGACTGTCTAGACATTCTTGAGGCATTATAAATTCAAAATAAAATACAAATACCGACAGGTATGTTGGTATCCATCAATTCTGATACCAGATGATAAATTTGGCTACCACTATAAGATGTGCAAAGATTAAAAACACTCTTTGGCTAGTTACTTGAAAGAAAAGGTTAAAGGAGCTGCCTATCTCCATGAGTTGAGGACACTGCAATCACTTTATATGGTAATGATAACTTTCAAAAAGGGGTATTAGGTTTAGCACAATGCTTGGCATGCAACACATTTGACCATTACTATTCTCATCCATGTACTTCAACGGTCAACATGTGTTGAGCACTTAGCTGGGTGTCAAACATTGTGTTACACTAAGTTTCTAACGTTATCTCATTTAACCCTTTTAACTCTGAGACAGATACTATTATTCTAATTTTACAGAAAAAGAAATGCAGACAGATATTAACCAGCTAGTTAAGGTGCAGTATTGGAGGGCAAACCAGCTCTGTGTGATCTGGCCCAATCTTCACATAATGATGTGGAATTAAGGAGTTATCTTCTGTATGTTACTAGGCAGAGGGCAAATATTTATGTACCACCTACGTTAGAATTTTTATTTTTCACCAACAAGCCGTGAACTACCCTTTTGTCTGCCTGTTCCATTTCTTGCATCATTCTCTAAAGTTAATAACAGTTTCTGACTAGTTATTCCTCTCAGGACAGACTGAAAAGTCTATCTTCAGAGGCTATCATGTAAAGTGCTGCTTTCTGGATGATTCTCTCATTAGACTGCTTCTGTTCTTTCTCCTACATCTCACAACCATATCTCCTCAACCTAAATTACTCCATCCTTCTTTCTTATGTAATATTATCACTTTAGCTTCTTCCATGAATTCCTACACTCTATAGCTCTCAGTCTCAGTAGAATATACTGTCAGATCATGATCAACATTCTCCTTCTATATCTAAGTTGGAAACATGCCAACCGTTACTTAGGATACAATGTCAGTAAAAATCATAGTCCTAACACTTCAATAGTACCACATTACAAAATAATAAAAGAAATCCTACACAAACAATTTGAATCAAGTAGTAGTTAACGTTCTCAGAAGGGCACCATATATGTTTTGCACTTTTTACCATATTTTTCCCATTGTGTTGAATAATGACCGTCTTGGTTTTAGGACTTCTAATGACTGAATGATACCGAATTCTTGAAATGCTGTTATATTTCATTCCTCTGAAAAGGAAAACAAAGTTGTTCTGTAAATCACTAAAAATGCTCTCTACTGTGCCCTGAAATATAGACAGCATTACTGTTATGTAAATATTCATTAGAAATTAATCTAAATTATAACACCTATGCCTACTCTTCACTAGAATAATCATATTTTAAAGTTAATCATTCTGGAAGTATATTTAAAAAATGAAGAAAATCTAAGAAAACCTTTGCAAATAAAATGGTGACAGAAAATAAAAAGAACTGCCAAAGTCATGACATCCATAAACAATCTGATTAAAGTCAAAGTTTTTAAAGATGAAGTTTCACAGCTGGAAACTGAGGAAATACAGTATGTTGGTTAGATTTTTAAATTTAAGTGCCCTAGATTTCTCAGTGTTAAACTTACAACTGTGAAGCAAATTGATATATAGGAGATACAGAAGTTGGAGTATAAAGTAAGAAAGAAGAAAAAGAAAGAACTACTCTTAATTGGTAGTAAACAGTATAGCTCAATCTTGACTGGGTTCCTACGATCTCACTCACATAACAGGCTCTTTGGTATTACTATGGAGCTTAGGTGGATACTCCTGAGTCTCCATACTTCCAGGACGTGCTTCCAGTTCTATTGGGATAACTTCAATCTCACAATCTGTAACTTCTATTTTCCTCTTTTTGGAAAATATATTTTTCATAATATTCTCTTCTTTTCCATTTTCATCAATAGCATCAGGTTTCTCAGTGTTAGATCTGCTTAGTAATCTTCCTAAAAGAAAAAAGTAAAAGAGCTAAATATGACAAAAGGTAATATAATTACTAAGCAACAAAAGGGCATCTCTTCTGCTCTATTAGAACCGTGTATGGTGTACCTCATTTCTATAATGAAGATAAACATTAATTTATCCCAGGATACTACTGTGAGAAATAATAAAATTAAAAGACCAAGAAGAGATTTCATCTTCCAGTACATGAAAAAAACATAGGAACAAGTATTTGTCTGTTGTGAAATAACACAGAAGACAAAAGATTGAGCTACAATAATATAAAACAAAAATACAGATCAGAAAGCACTCCAGGAAATTAGAAAGGTGAACTCTAGTCTTACAATTATAGCCTCTGTATCTAGTTATGAATGCTTTATCATTTAAAAACTTTATTTATAAAGTGATGTATTTAAATCTGTGGTGATATGTGCCTGTTCTCACCTTAAGCCTTAATGTAATCAAAAGGGTAGTCTGAAGTTTATGCATTTTCTTTCAAGGAACTTAAAATTACACTTAACAAGTCAAAATTAACAGCTAGATTAGAGAGATACCCTTAGGTGCATTTCTAGCAATGTAGGTAAAGTCAGTAATACTTCCTGGACACCATCTGGCACTTTATGGTAAGCTAACTTTTATCAAAGAGTTACTCTGAGAAATATGAGAGACAAATGTCCAGGCAAGTTGTGCAGTATGTGTGTCTGTAAGTGGGATGTGCCAGGGATCCAGCTGTGACTGTTCTGAACTCAGGATTCTTGCCCTCACTGACGTGAACCTGGAATTCCAGATGAGGAGGACTGCTCTGGTCCCTGCTGCCTGGGGTCCCACATTTCCTTCAGACTGCCTTGAGAGCCACATTTCACCAACCTTTCTCACTTCACGGTACACACAGAAAGTGAGGACTTTTGCCTGACACTCTGGGGTAAAAGGAAGAGACTACTAGAGATGGACGTGTCTGGCCTGTGGGCTATGACCTGAAAGAATCAGTAATTGCACGACCGTAACACACCGGGGGGAGGCTTTGCTCAGAACATGGGCAACTCTCTATAGAATCCCTGAAATGGAGTGAACTGCCTTGACTGAATCATCACCTAAAGGTATTCATTATAACATTAACTTGTTAAGTTCTAATAGCTCAAGATGTTGATGAAGACAGTCTTTGACCAATTATCTTTATCTTAGTAAATCAGTCATTTTTCTATTTAAAAGTTTTCTTATTTTATCCCAAAGCATCTGCAGCCACAGAGACCAAAAAACAAATCTCATGCAGTAACCCAAGTTTTATCCTTTAGCGTTTCTTTTCTGGAACACCTGGCACCTCCTAACGCATGTCATCCCTTCAGTGCTCAATTTCCCAGTCACTTGTCATCCTCTGATGCTCCTCTTATATTGTCGCTCTTGTCCTTGCTATAAGATCTCAGTGGCCCTGACTAGTAAAATGGAGATTCAGAAATATAGATCTTACCACAGCATAATGTGAAAGTAAACCTTTGCTTTACCTGAATAAATGCAAACAAACGTCCCTCTGTCAACGTCATCTAGACAGCGCACTCCCCATCCCTTCTTCTCAGTTTTGAACACTTGTAGCCTTACTTGAGGTCCATGCTGGACAACTCGGTTTTGACATATTCGTCGATCACACTTGCATAATAGGCTGCATTCATAAATGCTTGTCAATAAAATATACAAGAGAAAAATCAATTAGACATCTTAAATTAAAAGCAAAAGCACTTCCTATTGCTGCCTCACTAATAATTACTGAGGGAAAGAGACTAAGTGTGAAGGCTCCCAGGGCTAGACTGCCTAGTTCCCATCACAGCTCCAGCACTCACTAGCTGCGTGTCCGTGGATTTAATTTCTTTGTGCTTCAATTTTCCATTTTTAAAATGGGGATTATATGGTACCACCATATAATATGGATTATATGGCATAGGGTGGTTTTGTGAAGATTAAATGAATTGGGTAAGTCAGACAGAGAAAGACAAATATCATATGATATTGTTTATATGTGGAATCTAAGAAAATGGTATTAATGAACTTGCTCACAAAGTAGAAATAGAGTCAGAGATGTTGAAAACAAGCTTCAGGTTACCAAAGGGGAAAGTTGTGGGGGGGAATAACTCAGGAGATGGGGGTTGACATATACTCACTACTATACATAAAATAGACAACTAATAAGGACGTACTGTACAGCATGGGAACTCTGCTCGATACTCTATAATGACCTATATGGGAATAGTCTAAAAACAAGTGGATAGATGCATAACTGAATCACACTGCTGCATAGCCACAACTAACACAACATGGAAATCAACTACATTTCAATAAAATTTAATTTTAAAAAAAAGATTAAATAAGTCAGTATTTACAAGGTGCTTGAGACAATGCCTGGCACAGAATAAGGGTTCAGTTCAGTTCTGTTCAGTCGCTCAGTCGTGTCCGACTCTTTGCGACCCCATGAACCACAACATGCCAGGCCTCCCTTGTCCATCACCAACCTCCGGAGTCTACCCAAACCCATGTCCACTGAGTCGGTGATGCCATCCAACCATCTCACCCCTCTGTCGTCCCCTTCTCATCCTGCCCTCAATCTTTCCCAGCATCAGGGTCTTTTCAAATGAGTCAGCTCTTCACATCAGGTGGCCAAAGTGTTGGAGTTTCAGCTTCAGCATCAGTCCTTCCAATGAACACCCAGGACTGATCTTTAGGATGGACTGGTTGGATCTCCTTGCAGTCCATGGGACTCTCAAGAGTCTTCTTCAACACCACAGTTCAAAAACATCAATTCTTCGGCACTCAGCTTTCTTTATAGTCCAACTCTCACATCCATACATGACCACTGGAAAAACCATAGCCTCAACTAGACGGATCTTTGTTGGCAAAGTTATGTCTCTGCTTTTTAACATGCTGTCTAGGTTGGTCATAACTTTCCTTCCAAGGAGTAAGCAGCTTTTAATTTCATGGCTGCAATCACCATCTGCAGTGATTTTGGAGCCCAGGAAAATAGTCAGCCACTGTTTCCCCATTTATTTGCCATGAAGTGATGGGACCAGATGCCATGATCTTAGTTTTCTGAATGTTGAGTTTTAAGCCAACTTTTTCACTCTTCTCTTTCACTTTCATCAAGAGGCTCTTTAGTTCCTCTTCACTTTCTGCCATAATGTGGTATCTGCATATCTGAGGTTATTGATATTTCTCCCAGCAATCTTGATTCCAGCTTGTGCTTCCCCCAGCCCAGTGTTTCTCATGATGTACTCTGCATATAAGTTAAATAAGCAGGGTGACAATATACACCCTTGACATACTCTTTTTCCTATTTGGAACCAGTTTGTTCCATGTCCAGTTCTAACTGTTGCTTCCTGACCTGCATACAGATTTCTTAAGAGGCAGGTCAGGTGGTCTGGTATTCCCATCTCTTTCAGAATTTTCCAGAGTTTATTGTGATCTACACAGTCAAAGGCTTTGGCATAGTCAATAAAGCAGAAATAGATGTTTTTCTGGAACTCTCTTGCTTTTTTGATGATCCAACGGATGTTGGCAATTTGATCTCTGGTTCCTCTGCCTTTTCTAAAACCAGCTTGAACATCTGTAAGTTCATGGTTCATATATTGCTGAAGCCTGGCTTGAAGAATTTTGAGCATTACTTTACTAGCGTGTGAGATGAGTGCAATTGTGTGGTAGTTTGAGCATTCTTTGGCATTGCCTTTAAGCATTAACAACATTTATAAGACTAAATAGGCCACAATGATAAAGTACCCTCCTTCAAAGATATAAACACCCTGCAACAAATCCACAGTGTATCTTACCCAGTAGGTATCTGTCTCTCTAGTCTTTTATATTTATATCCAGTGGTTATTTTATTACTTGACAAGTGGCAAGTCTTGGAATTCCTTGCTGTCAGTTGAAGACACGCACATTTTGTTCTAAAAGGAAAACAATGGACGGAGAAGTCAGAATAAAAAAGCATCAAGAGATTCTCTTGACAAAAGTATAAAGAATATAATTGTTTTTAAAACAGTTGTTTGGCTCATGGACTGTTAAGATTTCTTCCCTAAATAAAATAGGCCTCTTTGAAAGACAACATTTACCAAAAGTTTATAAATAATTATAAACTGCCCTGTACCTTGCTTGCTCATGAAATAGTTAACTATATGAGTTTTAACATTTCAAAATGAACTCCTTTCATTTCCTATTCAGCAGAAGCTTCATTGTGACAATTCTTCCAGGTTTGCTCTCTTACAATGGATAAACTTAAACGTGTCTAGCTCAAAAGAACTTACATAATTTTGTATATGTTTTATATGATCTCTCTCTCCAATGACATAAAAATAGATTGAGGAGACTGATGCCATGTATGTGGCTACTACAATCTGTTTTTCATAGCACTGCTAAGCAGTAAACATGAAAAGCTAAAAACATATTTCCTCTCTAACTACTGAGATGACTATCTATCATGACAGGGACTTAACACTCAATAGGAGTAAGGAACCTGGGTATCTCAGCTATAAACCAGATATGTGACTACTGGTTAAAAATCTCTTGAATCTCATCTCCTGTGTTAAATGGCAAGTGACTTTAAGATCGTTTCCTCTATGATTCACTTCAGTATTTTTCTGTACATATATAATACAAGTCAGAGTGGTAACTACCGTTTGCAACAGAAAAAATAAGCAATAAATTGATTGATTTCGATTCTATTTACAAATGTAGAAATGTATTGTTGCTTTTTCAATATGAGTTTGTTTGCAAAGTTTACAAAGTACAGGCAACACAAACAATAACAAACACTCATTCTGACCACACAGAATCAGCTGTCATCGTTTTGTCTAGTCCTTTCTCTTATGTATATACAGCTGACCCTTGATCAGCATGGGTTTGAACTACACAGGTCCACTTATATGTGGATATTTTTCAATAGTAAATAACACAGTACCACATAATCTACAGTTGGATGAAAACTTGGATGTGGAATTATGGATGCGGAACTGCTTATGTGGAGGGCCAATTATGTTACATGTTATATTTTTGAGAGCTGGCACCCCTAACCCCTGCATTGTTCAAAGTTCAACTATAATTTACAACATATATACTGTATATATGATCTTCCTTAAAAAAAAAGAAGATAAAACTAAGCTCTCAAGACGTTTGGTGAGGCATCCTTTATGCTTTTACATATCTATTTACCTACAAACAATACAACGTATGTTTTTTAAAATTACCATAGTCATTATCCTACAACTTGTCTTTTCATTCAATATAATGCTTTTCAGATCCACCTTTTTAACTTTTCCACAGCATTGAGAATCACAATTAAACTGCTTCTAGTTTTCAATACAACAATGCTGCAACATCCTTATCCTTCTGTCCCCGTCTAAGCATCTCTTGGTTAGCAGCTTTCGTATTTTTGACTACGACTCACAGCAAGAAATGTCTTACATTTCTAAGAAAAGATCCTACAGAGGCATGCATATTTATATGCGTGTGTATATGTAAAGTAGGAATAGCAGTCGAACATAAGTACCTTATCACTGTACTTTCTGTACACATGGTACTTTCTGTCCAATTTAAAAGATTCTAGTTACAACCCGTTAAGTGATTTTACACCCTACTAGACTTAGAGCTTGGAAAACAATGCTCTAGGTATAAAAATACTGTTGCTGAAAAGTAGGAATGCGTATCTTCAACTGCTGTGTAATTGTTTGAACACCCTCTTAACACCCCCACCCCCCACCAAATAACTGCCTGGCTTGGTACAGAATTCCAGTTTTATATTTATTTTCCTTCAGCATTTTAAGTTAATGTGCCTTTTTGTCTTCTCTTATTTTTGATGGAAACTGCCTTGTCAATATATGTTTTCTCTTTTCCACCTGCTAGCATATTTACTCTTTGCCCTAGACACTTGTGAAGTTGCATCATGATACATTTAGACGTGCTGTTATCTTAGTTTCCCTTCCTAGCACACAGTAGGCTTTTTCACTCTGAGGACTCCTGTCTTTCTTCAGTTCTGGAAAATTCTCAGCTATTATCTCTTTGAATGATGCTCTCTTCTCAGAGGTATGTTAGAATTTCTCATTGATCTTTCATATTTTTCAACCTGCAAATTTTTTTTTCCTCTTATCTTTATCTCTTTGCATTCTGGGAGAACGCTTTAGTTTTGCTTTGCTGTTCACTGATTGTTTCTCCAGCTATACCAATGCTACCATTTAGTCCATCTATTTAGTTTTTTTTTTAACGTGTTTATTTATTTATTTGTCTGCACTGAGTCTTAGTTACAGCACTTGGGATCTTTAGTTGTGGTCTTTAGTTGCATGCATGTGAACTCTTAGTTGAGGCATGTGGGATCTAGTTCCCTGACCAGGGACTGAACCTAGGCCCCCTGCATTGGGAGTGTGGAGTCCTAACCACTGGACCACCAGGGAAGTCCCTCTATTTAGTTTTTTATTTCCATAACCATATGCTTTATTTCCCATATTTCCAAATGGCTCTTTTACTTATATAGTATAGTTGAAAATAATCTCCTTCTCATTTCATGGATATTAATATTTTATCTCTTTGGACATTTTGAACATACCTATTTTAAAGTCTCCTCCAGTCACGTTCTACATTTATCTCTGATTCCTCTGTGTGAACTCTGCCATGTGCTGGAACTTAAGCTGCCTTCACGGCCCTAACGCCTCTGTGTGCTGAGTGTGCAGGATTAAGCCTCTGCAGAGGTTACTGCTGGGTGCTCCTCTACACTGGCTGTTCTGGCTCCGACCCGCGGGCTTCACAGCTCTAAGCCTGGTTGCTAGCAACGCAACGCTGCGATTGCAGGCCCTGTGACTTAGCAGCCAACCTCTTAGCCTCGGGGAGGCCCCGTCTCTGCACCCTCCCCTGAGAGCTCGAGGCCCACTCTCCACCCCGCACGGGACACGTTCAACTCCCAGCACCGTCAGGGTTAGGATCCCTGGCCACAGTGCTCGTGTCCGATTCCAGATCCCCGTGAGCCTCAGCTTCTGCTTATCTTGCAACTTCTCTTGTAATCTGTGACCAAGAAACGAACGCATGTATGCTGGTGGTACATGTTACATGGGGATTCGTTTCTATGGTCTAAGGCAAAAATCACACACCATCAAAATTAGTTTTTCAAGAAACCTTGTTAAACTAACCATAAAGTACAGTAAACACTGTCTAACCCAACAGTTAGTTTTTTCCTCTAGCACTGAAGGAGACTGAGCTTGGCCAGATGTAGACAGATTAGAGGCAATGCTTAAAAACAACAATTTATATTTAAACAGAATAAAACCTGGCACAGTGAAAGGTTTCCTCTATAACAAAACCTAAAGGAACTGGGCCAAACTAGATTTATGTATCTCATCTCACACTCCTAACTGACAGGATGGTTAAAAACTACTATCTATACATTTTAAATTAATTCTCTTTATCTCTCTCACGCATTTTCTTTTTCCTAGTATAGGCAGCTAAGTTTGCATTAAGTTAAATGTACATATGCGACTCTGCTCTACCAATGCAAACCTACAAATACCAGTAAATTATACACCTTTAAAACAAAATGGTTTTCAAAGTCTTAATATATTAGAACATGTTTTCATTTTTTTATGGAATGTCAATTTTGGGATCAGGAGAGGCACCATTAACTTTCAAAAAAAGGAGCAAGGAAAAGATATGTGAAAGTAAAACATGACATATAACAGTTAAGAGCACAGGAGAAGGAAATGGCAACCCACTCCAGGAATCTTGCCTACAGAATCCTGTGGCCAGAGGAGCCTGGTGGGCTGCTGTCCATAGGGTCGCATAGACTCGGACATGACTGAAGCGATAGCATGCATGCATTGGAGAAGGAAGTGGCAACCCACTCCAGTATTCTTGCCTGGAGAATCCCAGGGATGGAGGAGCCTGGTGGGCTGCCGTTTACAGAGTCGCACAGAATTGGACACGACTAAAGCGACTTAGCAGCAGCATAGGTTCAAATCCTGGTGCTTAAATTTGTTGACCTTACACCTGGTTTCGCAACTTCCTCATTTGTAACATGGAAATAATATTAACTACCCCATAAGACTTTGTGAGAACTAGACAAGAAAACAGACGGAAAGCACTTGTCACAGTGTTTGGCACAGTTACATGGCAATAGCTCTAATTGTTGCTATGAAGAGTTACAGTAACAGATTAAGGGAAAAACTTATCATTGCAAGAAACAATTCCCAAATTAATGAAATAACTGGTGAAGAGTTTCCTTCCTATTGCTAAAGAGAGAGTGCATCTTTCTATTTTCAATTCTTGATGAAACTGGTTTTAGATAAGACAGACAGACAAACTGATACACAGCAGGATTTCTTGACAAGTACCCCTACATTCAGAAGATTTTTTTGAAATGCCATGTTCTTCTACTCACATGTCTACGCAGCCCTCAGAACAGTCACATGAATCAGTAAACATGTTGGAAAAGCTGTTTAGATAACATGCTCGTGGCCACATAGTCTTTCTGTACTTAAACTGTGGAAGTTTTCTATTGTCAACTTCATTACAGAAAGAAATGGGCACCGATTCCACTCCATTGCTAATATCCACATCAGAAACAATTTCTTCTTTCTTTGGGTAATTCCGAGTCAACTGAACATAGGTATTGAAAGAAAAGTTATCTGTAAATAGAAAGTTACACTCTGTCTCAAGCAGGTAACGAAAAACTTCCTCCATGTTTCGTAGACTCCTTCCACAAGGGGTTTTATAACTCACGTGGAGTGCTGAAGAATGAGAGTTTGTCTTCGCGTGTCGTCTTTGGAAATGGCATTTGATTGGTAGCTGCAGAGGGTTTTCCCCCTTGAAGGTAAGTGGCATTTTTATCAGACAGGCGCCAGAGCACTCATGCTTTTGGTAAGATAAATTTAAAGAAGATTCTTTTTCTCTAAAGTCTGCAACTTTATTTTCCATAGGGGAAATTTCCTGGTTTTCTGTAGATCTGTTTAAAATTAATTATTTATTAGAACCTCAAATTTATAGCACAATTCCCCATATTAAAAAAAAAAACCCACTAAGATGATATTTAATTCCTGTATTAGTTTCTTCTCAGACAACATGAAAATAAGCCAGACTCTGAAATAAAACATCTATGTTCTGTGGTTATATAAAGTTATGTAAGTTTTTTTTAATCTCGTTCTGAGCACCAAATATGTGGTGTTTTTTTTCCAGCATGACTTCTTCAATGAGTGTCCAATAATTCAGTTCAATTCTGGCATTATCTACCTGGAGTCAGCATCAGATTCCACAAATTAGTTCAGTCCCATAAAACTGCCCCCAATCCAGACGTGAAATGCAATTTTCAGGTCACCCACACTTCTGACCAATCCATGAGTTCCCACAACCTCCTCCTCTTTGTTAATGGGCTGGAAAGACTCACAGAATTCAGGAAAGCACTTTAACTACTATTACCAGTTTATAATAAAAGATGCACTCAGGAACAGCCAAATGGGAGAGAGGCATGGGGCAAGGTAGGTTAAGAAGGGGCATGGAGTTTCCATATGCTCTCTCCAAATGCACCCCCCTCCCAGCACCTCAAAGTGTCTGCCAACCAGGAAGCTCCAGGAGCCCTGTTGTTTTTTATAGTGGTTTAACTGCTTAAGCATGAAGGATTAAGTCACTGGCGACTGGTGATTATCTCCACCTGCAGCCTTTCTCTCCTCCCTGGAGGCTTGGAGGTAGGGCTGCAAGGGCATCAAAGATTTCTTGAATGCCTGCTATGTGCCAGGTGCTATGAAAACAAAGATGAGAGCTCCGTAATCTCAAGGAACTTACATTTGAGGCAGAGAATTAAGTATTTATAATAAAGTATAAATGATATTATGAATAATGCCATGTTATATAATGTTATGGAAAGACATCTAATCTTTTATTTTTCTGATTTTAAGGGTACTAATTTTATAATTAATCTTTCTAGGTTTGAGAATTCAATTTCATCTGGAGTTTATATTGATGTAACATGAATATCTAACTTAAAATCTCCAAATGATATCCAATTGTTCTAGAGTCTTTTACTGAATACTGTAAAGAGTCCTTTCACCTGACTTTGACTTACTAGCTTAATATCTCAAGTTCTTATAAATACACAAAAATGTTTTCTTATTTTCTAGACTCATTCTGCCTTTAGATTGAAATCTTTTTTTTTCTTTTGGCCATGCTGTATGGCATGTAGGATCTCAGTTCCCTGATCAGGGAAAGAATCCATGTCCCCTGCACTGGGAGCATGGAGTCTTAGTCACTGGACGATCAGGGAATTCCCTAAATAGCAAATTTTTGAATGAAAAACATGTGTTTTCATTTTCTAGTTGCTGGAACCATTCTGAAGCCTAGTTTAGATATTGTGATTTCCTGCACTGGAGCTATGAACAGCAGCACAGTGGCCCTAACTCTATCATCTTAGCTTGAAACTCTTAACATTTCCTAAAAAAACATTACAACATATGGATAATCCAGAAAATATTTCTATAGTGTTAATTAAAATCATTAGTTTTCTGGTAATGGTTTCTTTTTTAAGAACACTATTCATCATTCTCTTCTTTTTCTCATCCATTTGCCCTTTTATTCTACATTTTGGGTAATCTTATAGATTCCAGACTATACCTTTGAGTTCCTTTAATAGGCAACTTTCACAATGAATACTTCCTTAAAAGAAAGTTTGGGGTAAAACTGATTACTGTACTACTATTTACATTAGGTAATATTTGGAACTATCTATCCATCCTTAGAGGGATGGGTAAATAAAATGTATTTTCACATTATGGAAATCCAAACAACAGTTAAAGGAAATGAAACAGATCTATAACACAGCAAGCAACATGATTAGATCTCAAAACTAATGCTGAGTAAAGTAAGAAGGTACATATATGAATATTTATGTAAAATTTAAAAACTATAAGTAATAACACTATATATTATTTATGGCTATATAAATATTAAAAAAAATGAACTAGAGAAATAACTGATGACAGTGACTGCTCTTCGAAAGGCAGAGAGGAGAACAGAATTTTGTCAGGGTGAGAAGTTAGGTATGGCTCAAAGAGACTACAGTGTTTTGTTTCCTTTTTAAAAAAAGACATTGGAAGCACATACAATGAAATGTTAATAGCTATTAGTTCTGGCTGGTGTTAGTATAGTTTTTGCTATATTCTTTTATATGTTTTCAATCTTTAAAATTCTCAAAAAGACTCTCACTATTCAACATAGTTTTGGAAGTGTTGGCCACAGGAATCAGAGCAGAAAAAGAAATAAAAGGAATCCAGATAGGAAAAGAAGTAAAACTCTGTTTGCAGACGACATGATCCTCTACATAGAAAACCCTATAAGACTCTACCAGAAAATTACTAGAGCTAATCAATAAATACAGTAATGTTGCAGGATATAAAATTAACATAAAGAAATCCCTTGCATTCCTATACACTAACAATGAGAAAACAGAAAGAGAAATTAAGGAAACAATACCATTCACCATTGCAACAAAAAGAGAATGCAGCTAAAAGATCAGTGCAAATCTATCACATCCATGGACTACAATGCAATAGCACCTAATACATTAAAAACGAGAGCAGAAACAACCAAAAAAAAGAGGTAAGGTTATGTTTTCCCTTATATAACTTCAATCTATTTTAGTAGTTTTTGAATAATACTGGGAGTACATTCCATAGTAAAAATATAGTCTATAATGCATTTTTTGCTTTGTTCTTCCATTTTGCTTTGTTTTTCCATTTAACTTCAATCTTCTTAGCCTAGTCCACTTTAATAAGTTATTTATTTATTTAGGTATTCAGTATTTCCTTCTTTTTTTTAAAGACTGTGCCTGGAATTGCTCTTTCCTTATTATTAAGTGCCAAGTGCCTTTCTACCACTTTTTCTTATAAAGCATTATAGTATATTCTGAGCTATGAGCACTACTATTTGTCTACCTGGGACATAGATACCTTTGGCTTCATTCAGTACTTACTGAAATAAATTCTCTTAAGCTCTCATAGCTTTGTTCTTTGTTCTGTTCTAGACTAATTTACTCTTGAGTGATTTACATAGCTACAGTGTGGCTCAGAGGGTAAAGCATCTGTCTGCAATGCAGGAGACCTCGGTTTGATTCCTGGGTCGGGAAGATCCCCTGGAGAAGGAAATGGCAACCCACTCCAGTACTCTTGCCTGGAAAATTCCATGGATGGAGGAGCCTGGTAGGCTACAGTCCATGAGGTTGCAGAGAGTGGGACACAACTGAGCGATTCCACTAGTGTTGTATAACCAGTAAACTGAATGTTTCATTTCCCTTTTCAACTTGATTTTGAACGTTAAAACAAATAAATTATGTTTCAAGCTGGGTTCTGTGGCATTCTTTTCTACAAAATGTCATCAATTTATTTCCCCTATTTTGGGGGAAGGGGAATATGAAATATTGATGATTCAAGAAGTTCTTTGTTATGAAGGGATTAATTCAGCATATTTCAAGAGAAAAAATTGTATCTGGGGTATCCTTAGTTCTAAAGTTTATTAAAAGATTTTATTACTTACAGATCTAACAAATAACCTATATAGAGAATTATGAACCTACATAAAATACACAACTTTTAAAACTTTTTGGAAAGGGTAGGGGAAATGGATAGTTAGTTTAGGATGGACAGGTATACACTGCTATATTTAAAATGGATAACCATGGAGAAGGCAATGGCACCCCACTCCAGTACTCTTGCCTGGAAAATCCCATGGATGGAAGAGCTTGGTAGGCTGCAGTCCATGGGGTTGCTAAGAGTCGGACACGACTGAGCGACTTCCCTTCCACTTTTCACTTTCATGCATTGGAGAAGGAAATGGCAACCCACTCCAGTGCTCTTGCCTGGAGAATTCCAGGGAGAGAGGAGCCTGGTGGGCTGCCATCTATGGGGCTGCACAGAGTGGGACACGACTGAAGCGACTTAGCAGCAGCAGCAGCAGCATTAAAATTTGTGGGAGGACTCTTGGCCTAAAAATTAATTATCTTAAATATAAGGTGAAGTTTCTCCACATCTGACCGGTGCAGGCAGTTATTTCACTCATGAATTCATCAATAACTTGAGTATCTGAAAATACTTTACTAGTTAAATTAATTCCCTTTTAGAGAGAAATCAAATTTGTGTTAAAGAATCACTATTCCAAGGGACAAGCAATAGAGAGACATTAGTTATATTGTCTTATATTAGGAAGCCTAATTTCAAAGTAAAATAATGTCTGATAACATAAATTCCTATAAATGTATAAATTCCTAGTGTTCTGATTCTTTACACTCCAGTAACAAATAGCATGAGGTAGAAAATATTTAAATCTTTGTATAATACCATATTTAAATCTTACTAGTAGAATTTGTTTGTATCTTTTTCACTTGTGTCTCTCGTCACTTATTCCTAACTTTTAAAATTCTTGGTCGAAATGGAACATAATGTCTTATTTGTCTGATTTCATCTTAGTGGGAATAAAGAATTATGTCACTTGACCTATTTATTTGATAAAAAAAAAATAAAATAAAATGTATAACCAACAAGGACCTATTGTAGAGCATAGGGAACTCTGCTCAATGTTATGTAGAAGCCTGGATGGGAGGGAGTTTGGGGGAGAATGGATACATGTGTATGTATGGCTGAGAACCTTTGCCATCCACCTGAAACTATCACAGCATTGTTAATCGGCTATACTTCAATACAAACTAAAGAAGATTAAAAAAAAAAAGTTTTCATGGGAAAGAATCCTTTTTTAATATATTTTATCTACTCTTATGTCAAATGATTAGCAACAGTAAATCGCTTTCTGGGAGCAAAAGCACTAACAACATAAATAAATTTAACTTCTATACATACAGAGAGGTGCAGTCTTTTGGAAAGAAGTCTTCATATGACGTTGAGGGCAATGAACTTGATTTGTTTTCTTCTGCATTCTGGGTCACAGATGTATGATCTACATGAAAAAATTACAAACAAGTTAAAAATGAGTCACTGTAATATCTAAATAATAACTTTATTGACTAAAGATATAAGGAGCCCTTAAATATGAAAACATTAAGGTTTCAAAATTGAGGCAAAAATTAGGTATCAACATTTTCAAGAATATTAAGAAAATAAGACAGGATAAAATAAGACATAGAAGAAATTTTTACTGCAGAAATTCTAATTTGGCCCAAACTTTATCTGTATTTTAATCATCCTTTAAAGCAAACATCAAGTATCCCTATTTCTGCTTGTATTTTACAGAAAAAATAGTGTAACTCTCAGAGACTCTATTAAGGTCACAAAATGGGAAGCCTTTACGTTTCTTATTCTATTACTTTCTATTTTTGCAGAGGAGGGAAGTATTTGGGTTGCTCTTTTTGTCTTTTCATTTGTTCATTCATAGTTCTCTTAGTTTCCCCTATATCTTTCTGCACTTAATTTCATCTTGAGCCAGGATGTCCCTGGTTCATTCTTGTCTCTGTATTTTTCAACTTCACCTATTCTTACTCTCTAACATGACTACACTATATAAATAAGCTATGCAGTTAATGAAAAAAAAAGTTATATATTTCCTGCTCTTATTTTGAAAAAAAAAAAAGTGAATATGCAGGATAGTCTATGTTTGTTTTTTAAAAAATTGTTTTTAATCATGCTTTTTCCTATGCAGTAGTGGACCTTAATAAAAAAGTGATTCTCTTCCTGCCTTATTATTAACTTGCATTGGTCCTTTAGTGTAGACCAGTCTTATTAAACAGAAAAGAAAAAAGTTTAAGAAAACAAAAGAGTAGTTTAAGTTATAATCCAGGGTCATGTGTGTGGATGCATGCATCGCTTCAGTCATGTCCAGCTTTTTGTGACCTTAGGCCACCAGGCTCCTCTGTCCATGGGATTCTCCAGGCAACAATACTGGAGATGAATACAAGAATGCTTGCCATGCCATACTCCAGGGGACCTTCCTGACCCAGGGACTGAACCTGCATCTCATGTTTCCTGCATTGGGAAGCAGGTTCTTTACCACTAGTGCCACATGGGAAGCCCTGATCCAACGTCATCCTTGGCTAATTGGAAAGCAAATATCCCTCTTTAGTTATTGAGGTAAAGAAAGAAGATTTAAAATCTGATAGATGAAGAGAGCTACAATAACTGATTAATAAATACGTTTCGGTCAGTGGTTAAGACTCTGTGCTCCCAATGCAGTAGGGGGCAAAATTTCAATCCCTATAACCCAATGCCACATGGCACAGCCTTTAAAAAAAAAAAAGTAAGTAAGTTTTTCAAATTAAGAATTTCTGATTTTTCCCAGCAAATTTCTTTGAATGAGCCATATAACGCCATACTAACAAATACAAATATAACAAAGGTATATAAGCATAGTTAGAAACAAGATTTACTAAAAAAATGGAGATTTTTATTAACCATTAGATAAGAGAAGAAAGGAGAAATAATACTTTCTTTCAAGAAAACAGTATCTAATTCTTTGTATGGGGATACAGCAAATATTTACAGAACTATACACAAGCAAAGAAAAATTAAACGTAAATTAGTGGTTTGGGGAATTCAGGCTGGATCTGGGATGGCTTGTTTAGACCTCAACACCAAGTCCTTTTGTTTCTCCCAGTCTCAGTATTCCTTTTAAAATAAATACTAATATGAAACTTTATTACTATGAAGTGTTTAATCCCTACATTTGCTAGCAGTGTCACTACATAATTCCCTGATACTTTAAAAACATGTGCTAGCTCTACCACTAGCAAACATATACTTCTATTTTGATAAATTTATTACACTTCAGATGAACTATATAAAAATATGAGACTAGAATACTCTGCATTTCTACCAATGAAATCATTTTAAAAGAACCAAGACAAAAACCCAACTTACTTTTTTTTTACTGGGAAAGATTATTTAGAAAGAAAAAAGCTGTTTAGAATTATTTCTTCTTACCACCTCTTGCACTTACAGGCTTCTCTCTTAGAAAACTAATGTCACCCCTTAAGGGTATGTTGATTCTAAGTGCTTCTGTAGCCTACTGGGAGAAAGACTGTTTTCTTGAAAGAACGTACTCTTTTCTAAACTTTACATTAGCGACTGAAAGTGAAAACATTTCTGAATAACAAAATCTTTCTTTAAAATAAAGTGATGATGTTAAGCCATATTTTCAGAGATTTAAAACTCTAAGGCTCCAAATTATGACAGTTAAAATGATTACAATCTGTTAAAAATATTTAACAGTATTAATTAAAATTTAGAAAATGTACTTCCTCAACACTTTAGCAAATTGGTGACAGTCTAAGATTTATAGGATAGTGATTCTGATAACTTTTTAATTAAAAAGTTTTCTAACTGAAGGATAATTGATCAACAGTGTTGTGTTATATAGCAATGTGATTCAGTTATACACACACACACATATATGTTCTTCTTCATATTCTTTTCCATTATGGACTATTATAGCATATTGAATATAGTTCCCTGTACTATACAGTAGGACCTTGTTGTTTACCTAAAACAACTTTTCAATTTTTCTTTTTCTAATCCTAGTACACTATCTTTGTTCAATTCCTTTAAAGTTGATACATTGATGTTCTAATAATAATCTAGAAATGAAAAAAGTTTCCATCAATTTATCTCTACCAAAATATATCTTTCTAGCATTGTTCTTTACACAAAGCAGGTTTAGAGTGGTTTGGAGTCTTGGAATTCTGTTTGGGCTTCTTATAGGAGAACCTGTTTTGAAGAAGAGATATATCTGTTCTTCCTGAGAGGTTTAATAGGGTGTGCATTTCCTATCTATGGATGGGCAGGACTTTTCATTGACTAGGAACACTGATTTCCATAACTTACCTATATGGATCTTGCAGTTTATTTTAAACTGTCTTTGGTTAAGGCAACATAATTAAGGCTGGCTTGCTTCAAAGAAAGAAAACAGCAGAGAATATCCTAGATTAGGATTAGAAATGTACATACCCTTTATCAATGTTGAATTGTGGTTTATAGTTGCATCTTTTACTAGAATCATTGCTTGGATGTATTCTGTTAAGGAAGGGAAAAAAGAATGAAAACAATCATCAGCAGCAGCACCTTTATTCAAGATGTCAGCTACTGTGCTATGCAATTCACTGATACATACTTTATCTCATTCAATCTTCATAACTCCTCTGAGAGGTTTTTATGAGTATCTACTTTAAAGACAAAGAAATTGAAGCTTAGAGGTTAAGCTGTTCACTTCAGGTCAATCAGATAGAAGAGGTAGAACTGAATTCAAACCTAGATATATCAGATTCATGAAGGAATGAGAATATTAAAATGAAAGACAGTATTAATTTTGTAGACAAACACACAATTTTTAATGTGTGTTTAATGTCTGATTAATGTCATAGAATATCCAAAAAGAATTAAGAATATCCTGGGGAAAACAAAGAATAGGAGGGGGGAAATTTTGCTTGAAAATCATATATTCTGATGGAATGAAGGAAGTTTCCATATAAAAGTCTATATTCTACAGCTACCTGGGCTGAAGACAAATAAACAGAAAAAATAAAAACCTGGATTAAAAAAAATAATAAAAATAAAAAATAAAAACCTGGATGACTGAACTGACTGCCAATGTAAAACCCAAGGTTTGCCTTCTGAAGACTACTAAGGTAAATCCTGTTTAAAGCAGGCAAAACATATCCATGTATGTCTAAGCTGTCTCTGAAAGACTGGGTGATGGATAATCTGCTATATTTTTCTGTATGTAGAACAAAAATGTTCTACAAGGAGCACATACTAGTTTTGCAATACACCCCCTCCACCCCCGCATAAAGATAAAATGAGGGAGAGAAAAGTAGCCTGAGATAAAGAGAGATTTATTTATTTATTATTCAAAATAATCATCTTCATCCACTTTTACAAACGCTCATAGTATGATAAAAATGAGTTTTTATAGAAGCAGAGCATATACACACAAAAAGCAAATAGAACTGATGTCAAGTTCTTAGAAAACAAAAGAAAATATTTTGACTTTTAAAACAAATAGCAATACTGGAAATAGAACTAAACTGTATTGCCAGTGGGTAATATTTAGCATTAAATGTGTTGAAAGTTCTTACTGCTTCATACCTTTATTTGTGGCAGACCCATCTTTGATCTTTTGTTTCAGTGACTGCAGCACATTTTGCACTTGTTCAAATATGAAATCCACTTTCCCATCATCTTCCAGCTCCATCCAGAAAGTTTCTGCATCACCTAAAGAAAAACTAAGTGAATAGCCTAAGAGCTCAACAGACATAGACTGTAACTTTCCTAAAGCACATGCTATTAAAAATCCACTCGGTTACTAAATAAAATCAAGATTTAATTGGGTTATTACTTTCTTTCAGGAAAAACATTTTCATCACTGTTTCTTCTTTTCTCTTTTGGCCACATGATCTTAGTTCCCTGACCAGGGACTGAACCTGGGTCCTTGGCAGTGGAAGTGCGGAGGCCTAACCACTGGTGTACTTGGTCACTGTCTCTTTAGAAAGAATGAAAAACAAAGATAACCTAGGCATCTCCTTATTTCTGCTAATTAAAAAAAAAAAGTGTTGAAAACTAGTGAAACTATTTCTTGACTGGAAAACAGAAGGAATGATTTCATTCTGGGGTGGAAGCAGGCGTACTTATAGACAACTATACCTTTAAAAATTTTCAAGGACATAACCTACAATGAGTATGCAAGTGGATGGTTTCAGAATGAAACATCCCAACGACTGTTGAAATAACGAAATGTCTAACACTAATGCTTTTAAAAATATCTTTGCTATCAACTTTTTAATAGTTATGTTGACTGAAGAAAAACGAACAATCGAAAAGCTGCGAATTATGCTTTATTTGGGACCTACTGAGGACTACAGTCTGGGAGAGAGCCTCTGATACAGCTCTGAGAAACAGCTCCCAAGAGGTAAGGGAGGAGTCAGGATAAACAGTTTTTGCTGAGAGGAAAAAATAAAACATGTAATTAAAGATCGAATGATTACTGCCGATCACAAAGAACAGACGTCTCAATTTAATGATGTTAGTGCTTTTTTATGCCTAGGGAGATACAAGAGTCTGAGCTCATTGAAATTATTCTTCAGACCTGCATCTTAACTATCTGCCGTCAGTATCTAGTTTTTCTACCTTCTGAATTCTCCTCAGGGAGTGCCACTGGGGGCAGATGTAGATGTTGGCTTGATGGCAGGCAGCACTATTTTCTGAAATGGCAGGCAACATTTTTTTTGTTCACAGTGACATGAGGCAAAATAATGTTTAAAGCTTTTATAAAGTTATATAGATAAACCAACATTTCAGATGCTCAGCAAACTAACACTGTAATCAAAAATTTCCATCCTTTCACAGTTGAAAACAGAAATATGAGAAATGCCATGAAAATAAACTGACAAAAGTCAAATCTCACACCATGTTTAAAAGTAACAAAAATACCTACAATGTTAAACACAAATTATTTCCAAAATAGGTAACATTAATGTATAAAATGCTTAAAATGAATAGGGCCTTAAGCAAAGGAGGCACATATTAATAACTGCACTGCAGACAGGTCACTTGAGAAGCCACTGGGAGGATTAATGAGCAGACAGCACAGTAAGTTCACCCAAAAATACATTTTCCTTCATAAAAATTAAACCAAGAACCTCCAAGAGAGTAACGGTGGGGAATTCTTCAAAGGAGGCTTAGACTTCCAAGTCCCAACTCTCCCTGGGAGCCATCTTACCCAACGGGGACCTCTGTAATGAGGGCCGCCGCTCTCCAGCAGCCTCAGGAGGAGCACTGCTTCCCTGTAGACTCTCTGGCCTGTTGTGTACTACACAAGACTAAGTCTACTTTTAACTCCCCAAAGCACAGTTCAGACAAAGGTTTCAACACTTGAAAAAAAAAAACACACACCACAATGTGAAAAGGCAAAAGGGATGAGAAATGATGTTTTGGAGAAGGTTAGGGGCTGTGACATGGAGGGCCTTGCGTGCCATGCAAAGCAATCTTATTTTTATGTGGAAGGCAATGGGGAGCCACTTAAGGTTTAAGCATCTTATCATTATGTCATTAGTTTGTTTTTAAGAATATCACTCACGGGGAAGTGAGAAAAGGGAGTCAAGACTGATTTCTATGTTTCTGATTTGGTCAACCATATGTATAATACTGGTATTATTTGCAATAGGGAATAAAGGTAGAGCAACAAGTGAGAAATTCAAGCAGCGTTAGGTAAAGTGGATATGTAGGTTCTAGAGTAAGATCTGGTCCAGATATACAAGTTAATTTTGGAGTCAATAATACAGAAATTCTTGATTGAAGCCACAGAGGAGATGTGATTAGAGAGAATGTGTAGAACAAGAAGGGTTTTCTGTAAAACATCAACATGTAAGTAATGAGAATAAGAAAAAGGAAACATGGAGACTGAGAAGGAATATAGCAGCAGATACTTGAGCTGAAACTCAAATCAGTAAACTAATACTACTGCTACTTGCCTCTAGAAATGAAGAAGATCATCTTACAGCTCCACTGTCTGTCCAAGTTTGCTCCATTATTCAGCTAGATACTAAGATTTATTGCAAGAACATAATCATGAAGCAAGAGGTACGGCACCTTTGCAAAGAAGGAAGACAAGTAAACTACACAGTTATACTATGTCTTCCAAACTCACATGAGACAGAAAGTCTTTGTAAATAGGCAATGCTCATGAATCACGTTGACCTGAGGTCATTTAGTAGATGAATATTTATGGAGTGCTTACTAAATACACTGATAATGGCCTAGGTACATGTATATGTATGTATTTATATTTCTCCATCCATTCCTTGAAGAGCTTCAGGGCAGTGGTCCAGGGAATCTCTAAGACACCTTTGAGCCTGTTATCAGTAAAGTATAGTCTACGAATTCTCGGCTGGTGGGGCTTCTGGTGGCTCAGATGGTAAAGAATCTACCTGCGCTCGGGATGGGGAATACATGTAAATCCATGGCTAATTCATGTCAATGTATGACAAAAACCACTACAATATTGTAAAGTAATTAGCCTCCAACTAATAAAAATTTTTTAAAAATTAAAAAAAAATAAAATAAAATATGATTAAAAAAAAAAAAGAATCCACCTGCGATACAGGACACCTGGGTTTGATCCCTGGGTGGGGACGATACCCTGGAGAAAGGGAATGGCAACCCACTCCAATATTCTTGCCTAGAGAATCCCCATGGATAGAGGAGCCTGGCGGGCTATAGTCCATGGGTCGCAAAGAGTCGGACACGACCGAGCAACTAAGCACAGCGTAGCACAAATCCTTTCAGACAATACACTAGGTCAAACTATTTTAACAGTAATACAAGATATTATTTGCCTTTTTCTTCCCTATATTGACATCAGCTGACAGTTCAAAAGCTCTGGTGAATAAAAGTGCTGGAGCCTTGGTGTGAATCAAGGTAGTTGCACCAAACTACCATTGTATTGTATTGTTTACCACCAATTTCACTTAAGGTCCTTGATAAAGCAACATAAATAATTACCACAGTACAATGGCTCTTTCAAGGAAAAACACTAGTGAGACCGTTTTGAGTTGTAAGATAAACTAGCTTTCTTATTCTCCCATGGAAAACCATTTTTACTTAAAAGAAACACTAATAACAATAATGGTTTTCTGACTGGGTGTTTGGTACACATTTTCTCAAACTTGAAGGACAAAACTAATGGCAGTCATGGCTAATGATAAAATTCAAGCTACCAAATTAAAATTGAAAATTTAGAAAACTTGCATCTGCCATGGTAAATTTGAAAGGTTCTCACTAATTCATCACTTTTTGATGATTGATAGCAATATTAACAAATGTAATTTTAAAATATTGTGATTAAATGTGTCAATATTTGGAAAAATCTGCATAATTCATTGCACCAATGTTTTCCAAGTGGCCAATGCATGTTATAAAATCATACCTGTGTAAGAGACCCATTCAACTGCTACTGCTAAGTCACTTCAGTCATGTCCGACTCTGTGCAACCCCATCCCTGGGATTCTCCAGGCAAGAACACTGGAGTGGGTTGCCATTTCCTTCTCCAATGCATGAAAGTGAAAAGTGAAAGTGAAGTCGCTCAGTCGTGCCCAACTCTTAGCGACCCCATGGACTGCAGCCTACCAGGCTCCTCCGTCCATGGGATTTTCCAGGCAAGAGTACTGGAGTGGGGTGCCATTGCCTTCTCCGAGACCCATTCAAAGTGCAAGACAAATCAATGGATTTTAATGTAACAGACTAAAGAAAGCTCACTGGTATGAATTCAGATTCCACACTATAACTAACCTTGAAGGAATGATTACTTGTTGAGTTTTGTAGTTGTATAAAAGAAAAATTTCCATGATTATCTGAGAGGCTATTAAAATATTCTTCCTTTTTCCAACTTCTTGTCTGTGTGAAGCTTCATTTTCTTTATACATTTACACTGAAGCCTCATATCACAACAGACTGAAGGCAGAAGCAGATATGAGAATCTCTCTTTTATTAAGTCAACTATCAGAGATTTGTAAAAATAAAAAGCAGTGGTTTTCTCGCTAATTTTTTTGTTTCAGAAAATAGTTTTCTCTCACGTAATTTATATTAACATGTTGGGTTTATTATTTTAAAAATATAGATCAATTACCATTTTTGAAGCTTCTCAATTTCTTAATATAGTAAATATGAACAGATATGAACCATATAAACAAAAGCTATTGAGGGTTTTAAATACTTTTAAGAGTATAAAGTAGTCCTGAAATCAAAAGAAGGCTTGAAACCACTGGCCTAGATAACTGTCCAGTGAAACAGGTGCTATAATCTGTATAACAATTCACCTACTACACATATGTTAAAGGGTGGTGAAACTGTTCTGTATGATACTATAATGGTGTATACATGACATTATGCATTCATCAAAACCCACAGTACTTGAAAGCACAAAGAGGCAAGCTTAATGTACGCAATATCATTTAAGAGATCAGGGATCCCACGAAAGCATGTATACTCAGCTTTGCTGAAGGGCTGGGTGGAAAAGATGCTGATTGAAACAACTTTGGAAATAAGTGGACTCTGTAAAACTACAGGCAAAAGGACCTTGCACAAGCACTGAGGCTTCTCACCTCAGAATGAGTTTATACTTCTGATACTGCTGTACCTATATATTGGAATTAAGCAAATAAATAAGTGCATAACAGATAATGGGAACTTACAGATAAGCAAGGAGACTAGCTTAGCATACCCATATGGTAATGGATTAGAGCCAGAAACATAAGTATAAACTCATGTTTAACTTATTATAGTTAGAGATGGTTACATACAGAAATATTTATAGATATGTGTAAATACAATTTATATATACCTTGCTCTGTCAGTTGAGAGGGCCTATAATCAAGACACCCCAAGAGAAACAAACACACCTATTGCCCAGATCTTGGTTTGTAATACAATTCTCCAATAAAAGGAACCAGGTAGGCTAATCAAGAAATGACTCATTCTAGGAGGATGGCAGGAAATACATGAGATGAACTTGGAGCATCTTTAATACCAAAAAATAAGAAAGTGCTAAAAACCAAAAACAAAGAATAAAACAAAAACCACCTGCACTGATAGGGTATGTCAAAGGGGAAGGAGACTCACTGAAAGAGCTCCAAATGCCCAATCCTGGGATAATTTGAGTAACAAAATTAAAAAGTACTGGATTATAACCCAAAATATAAACTATGTATCCATGAATCTATACTGATATAAATATACATGACTGAATAAATACATATATTGGGGAGAGGAGACCAATCTCCCTTGCAGAAGAATTTTGAATAATAGTGTGAGTATCCACTCTGTAAGTATCGGCTGAACATAGTGATTTCCTGTCAAAGAGTAAGTAGGGAAACGGAGGGGAAAAGAGAGCATTAATTTACAGTGGAGAAATCACTGAACACGATGTCAGCCAGGTGATCAAGCTCAGTATCAACAGGCGAGAAATCATGTTGATACCATGTAACCTTGACATCATTTGGTAAAAAATGACACTTTATCTCTATGGTCTTCCTCCCCACAAAAAACAACCCTAGGTCTAATGATGAGAAAAAAAAAATACCACTCAATAATTCCGATAGAGGTGCATCTTATAAGACACTTGGATACAAAATCTTACAAAAACAAGAAACGTCTGAGAAACTGTTATATCCATGAGGACCCTAAGGAGACATGACAAGTAAATGTAATGTGGTATCCTGAATGGGACCCTGGAATAGAAAAAGATGTCATGTAAGGAAATAAGAATAAACTATGGACTTTAGTTAACAATAATGTGTCACTAACAATAATTTTAACAAATGTATCAGCTAAATGTTAGATTTTAAACATAGGCAGAACTGGGTGCAGGGAACTCTGTACCAGCCTTTCAATTTTTCTGTAAAGCTGAAAGTTTTCTAAAAAAATAAAGTATATTTTTAAAAAGTACATTATAAGTACTGACTAAGCATTACAGATATACAATTAATTATAAAGAGTCAAAACTGTTGTTCCATGAGAATAAATCCTTAATTGTAATTCAGGAAAGTCACGTGCAATGAAAAAACTTGAAAATTCGACAATTCAACTTCATTAAGTAGTCTATATACTTTTAAACATAAAGTTTAACAATGGTTTTTCAACCTACCATTTTTTTCTCCCATCTTTTAGTGCTGTTTACAAACATAAAATTCTTCGAAATTAACTTTATCAAAGAATTGAATCACTTTGATTGTAGAATATAACTGGAATCCAACTGTGGTCTCTGAAATTTGCAGTACTCAGAGAAAATATATCATTATACTGTTTTAAGCCGAATATTCGTTGACACTTGAATTTTAAACTGTGCTTGAAGAAACTTTCAGAAATGATTACTAGTCCAACTTAATGGTCACTCCATGAATCTTTGTCAAGTGAACACGTACAGTTGTATCAGATCATCAACAATATCTTTTTAAAAACAAAAATCAACCCCATCTTTTGGTCCACGAATACATGAAACATTCTGTAAGGAAAACAATAAGGAATGGTAAATGGCATATTTGAAAATAATAACATATATCAGAAAAAAAGGGTTGTTGTAACAATAGCTCTATCTTTTAAAACAGCATGAACTATTATGAAAAAAGAATACATATTAACTGGAAAAACAGGTAAAATGTCAATATTACAAATATTATAGAAAAATTCAAAATTACCTATTTAAAATATATGTTAATAAAAACTATCTCCATTTCATAAAGCTTTAAAAACTTTTAAATGGGGCTAATCATGTTAACTACTTCAAAAGACTGTTGTGAGGCTGACTTAATCCCTTAGAATAATACCCGGCACATTACAAAGGACTCAATAAATGTTAACAGTCATTATTATTCTTTCAGTATATATACTTTAAAAACAAAATTTGAATTTTAGTATATACAAATTTTTATAATCTTTCATTGATAATATATCTTGTACTTTCTCTCATCATAAATGTTTACCTATAATATGACCTTTTAAGTGATTGTACAATATACTTTGGTCAATAATCCATGTTAAATTATACTAAAGAATTTTAACAATTAAAATGTAGTAAGTTATTAAGTAAACCTCTATATCAGACATTTAGATTATTTCTGTTTTTCCAATACAATAAATAATGATGTAATATACTTTATGCCTATCTCTGATTATTTCTTTAAGATATACACCTAGAGGTGGAACTCAGGGTCAAAAAGAGGTCAGCAGTTTTAGTCTCAGGATGTTAGTCAACGTATGATAAATTCTTCTCCTACTCCCACACCAAATTCACAGAAATCTTAATTTTTTAAATTAAAAATATAGAATCATGCTGGAAATAAAAAGGAAATTATCTACAGACTGAGTCTGTGGGACCTCTCTGTGGAAAGGCAACAGATGGGAAGTTGCAAAGATAATGCCAACCACAAATGTATCATGGCAAAATAAAGAGAAGATCCTCTCAGAGGAGATGAGTATATACAACCAAGAGTCATCAAACATCTGAAAAAAGTTACACCATGGAAGACACTTAACAAGCCCACCAAACTGATGAACTGAATTGAATTCAAAAGGATTAACAGAGCGTCCTGAAAATAGTTTTAAAACAAATAGTATTGTATTTAATATCAAAGAGCTAATGAAGGAAGCCTCATCTATGAAATAACATACAATTCTGAAAAATAATTAACTGGATATCTTGGATATAAAAATAGTTGTTAAATAAACTCAATAATTAACAGTCATAGTAACATAGATTCAAATGAAGAGCCAGTTAGTAAGCTAGGAGATGAAGTTGAGTAATTCACTCAGAATATAGAGCAAAGAACTGACAAAAAGAGGGGTAAGCAGACAGAAGACAAGGCAATAATGACCAAAAAATTCTTATAACTGGAAAACACATAGGCCACTAAGGGTCCACTGAATTACAAAATAAACTTATTAATACACACCACTAGACAAACCATGGGTAAACTTCAGAATATCAAGAATAAAGACAAAGTCTCAGAAACTTTCAGGAAATCTAGACGATCTAAAATGAACATTTATCAAACTGGTAATCAGACGTCTCATCAGAAATGTCGATGCAAAATGTTAAGGGAAAATAAGTCTGAATCCAGAATACTATTTCAGCCACGTTATGTTTCAATAGTAAAAGTTAAAAAAAAAAAAAGACTCTTACAGACACTCAAAGAGCCAGAGACTCTGAAAGAAATGAAGAAGTACTTCATTAATAAAAACTAACCTAAAAAAAAAAAAAACTAACCTAGAAGGAAGTACTGCGGTAAAAGAAGCAAAAGTGAGCAAATACATAAATAAAACACATTAATGCTACATAAAAACAGATTAAAAGTGGGTTTTAATGACAAATGAAATAATGCTAGAAGATAAAACCACAGGAAATTAACGTTCTTTTTGGAGGAGGGACGGAAGGGGATTGTTGTAAGATTACAGAAAGTAAAGTAAATCATACTAAGTTCTTTGTAGAGAGGATATCAATACGAATTAAATGTATGAATTGCATTAAAAATATAAAGGTAACACTTTGGAAAGCAACTATCCTCCAATAAAAATTAATTTAAAAAAATGTAAAAAGTACAGTATGAAAAAGAAAACAGAACAAAGAAAACTTAGGGCTAAACTCAAAGAAAAATGGAAAAATACAAGATACAAAAGATACGAACAGAAATATGGTAAATAAAGAGGACATGAAAGAGGCCAATTAAGTTAGTAATCACAAAAAAGGTTTTCTTCAGTAAATTTGCAGAATATTGTAAAGCATAGAGAAGAAAATTTAAATCATTCATAATCTCATCATCCAGAGACTACCAGTTTAACTTTAGATTGTAACAGTACTTAAAAATTTGTTCATATTTTCCCCCCTTCTCACTTTTTCATTTTGGCAGAAAAATACTGATTCGCTTTATTTATGGTTCGTTTTCACCAATAGGCTTTTGTGAAACTGTGACTCTTTCTTCCGTTATGTTTTAACAGTGATGACAGTAATGAATATTGAGTATAAACCACGTGTCAGGCAGGCTTCTAAACTTCCCGTGTTCTTATTAACCTGCATAACAATCACGAGGGACAAACTGTAGCATGCCTGGTTTTTCTCACAAAGAAGCTAAAGCATGTTACACTGTAAATAGCAAATACAAACTAAGGAACCAAGCAGCTTAGTTTCTGAGCCCGTTTTTTGATCCTTCTAATCTATCGCCTCATTCTTAACACACACAGAACTCACTGCAGGATTCCACTTGCTGATGAGCACAATTACATATTGTTTCTTATTTTACTTCCTACCTATTTGGGATAACTACTTATTGGGTTGTGGTTAATTAGAGTCAGGAGCTCTGAGCATCTGCTCTCAACTCCGTTATCTTGGGGAAATGATTTTACTTATTCAGGGTTTCTTGTAGTCTTACCTGTGAAATGGGTCAGTGGTTAAATCGTCAAGTTCTGCTTCTGGGTTTTGGACTGCAGCTCATTTTCCGCAGCCCCTTTTACAGCTTCAGGTTCCCAGCTGCTTTAGGAATCACCTCTCAAGAACGTGTGCAACCGGATGACAGGAGACTGAAATGCGGGGGGTGAGAACTCAGGGCGCCCGCGATCCCCCCGCTTCAGCCCGGGACTGTACGCGGGTGAGAGGGACAAGGGAGGTCGCAAAGGCTGGGATCCAGGCAAGAGTTGCGCCGCCTTCCCCGGTCCTGGAGCGAGGCTTCGGGAGGGCCACCCACGGCCGTTACACTAGCTCAGCTGACGCTTTCCATGCAGCCCGCGACAGCCGAGAGCTGCGCTCCGCCCGCCCCGCTGGCGAGGCTGAGTTCCCCGCGGGTCTGACTCCTCTCCCACTCAACGCCGCCGAGAAGCCGCGGCCTCAGGTGCCCCCTGGCCGGAAAGTACTTCCCATTTACTATACCTCACCTTAGCCAACAGTCCCTCTGGCCTCAGCTGGGTAAGGAGGACCGCCCATATTTCCAACCCGAAATGGGAGGAGTAGGACACCGACCGCTCCCACTACCCAGCCCCTAGCTCATTGACTGCACACCCCCAACCGGGTTCACGCCTCAGAGGTTCCGAGCACGTACAGCCTGCAACGCGGCGGCGCTTGAGCGCGCCGTCTTCCGATTGGCTGGCAGAGCTCTCGGGTTGTCTCGCGCTCTCCTACTGGACCAATGCGGCTATCCACAGTTGAGAGGCCGGCATCGCTGGAGGGGTGGTTCGTCTGTTTCCTCTGGTAGGTGCTTGGCTGCCATCTTGTGTGTGGCTGGGACTGGGCCGCTGGGCCTTTGGAACCTTAGCGATTCAAGCTGTAGAGATGTCCTGAAGAAGCAGTGGAGGAAAGAAGGGGCCTGAGGAAACAGACCTGGAAGCTTCTTACCTCCCTGAAAGGGAAAAGTTTTCCTGGTCTGAGTCTCAGCCCTGGCTGGAAAGAGAGATAAATGATGGAGGTGATTTAGGATCACAGGCTTTGGTTTGTTATTGTCAGGGCTTGGCGTAGACTCTGATGCTTTAACGGTGATCCCTTGGGTTTCAGGGAACTAGTCTAGTAATCGTTGTCTGCGAAAGATTCTGACCATCAACCCTCTATACTGACAAGGAAGGTTGTCTGATGGAGAAGGGAACAAGCCTGGTAATGGAAGAGGAGAGAGGGAGATACGACTATCTTTACGAGTCCAAAGAGACGTCTTAATTTTCTGTCGTTTGCGAGGGAGTGACTACTCATGTGTTTTGCTTAACCTCTAAGACCATCCTTTGGAAGCCGTGAGCCCCAGGTTCTGCGTTAGGGCAGTTTTATTCATTAGTGTACAACCGGCACTCCTGCAGTGGGGTTTTTGTTTGTTTAAAAGCTAGAACGTGGATGGCCTTTGCAGATACAGTGGAAGCGAAGGAAGAATTTTGTCAAATCTTGGTTTTTCTGATTACGATCTGCTGAAGATTTGGGAATCTCAGGGTTTGCCTTGCATGCTTGGCGGCTTCGTCCTGGGTAGGCAGAGGTTTGTGTAAAAGAAAGCATTTTTTAACTCCCAAGCTCTTTGAGATGGGAGGACGGAGGCAGGAATTATCTCCTTCTCCTCTTTATTATTTTTAAAAACCAAAGTAGAAAGCTTGCTTGGTTATTCATTTGAGGGGGAAATTATCTCAGATCCGAAAACCTAGCTAA